GATTTGAGGTCCCTCCCAACCCAAACCAGTCTGGGATTCTGGGATTCCCCCTAAATGTCACCATTTGAGGAACTGACTGTCCTGGGCCACTGTGATCTTTTTGTTCCTACAGCTCTTTACCACCCTCAGTGCCATGCCCAGACACCCAGAACCCAGGATGAGTTCCATCCCCAGGACAAGCCTGTTCTCAGAAGGGCTGGCCAGGCTGACAAGTCCATTCCTGGCAGACTGGGGTGTTTATCTCTCACATGAGTGGAGCTCTGTTTACTGGGCTCATGGAAACTGCTGTGATCAGGCACTGCCTGCCTGCACTTCCTCTGTCTGCAGAGACTCGATTTCACCACTGGTTTACTGTAAGTGAATCACTAAATCTTTTTTTTTTTTTTTTTTTACTGTAACACAATTTTTTTTTTTTTTACTTTGAGCCTCACAACATGGTGAAATGCACACACACAATGAGCCCAAAGGCTCTGAATTCAGCAGCAACCCCAAAATCCTGCTGTGGGTCAGAACACAGAACATTCCGCACAACCCAGGGAGGGAGGAGCTGCTGTTTTCTGCCTGATCTGTTTGTGACCTCTCCCTTTTCCAGGCACAAGCTGTGTCACCTGAGCCTGGGGAAATCACAGAATGCCAGGCTGGGCTGGGCTGGAAAGGACCTGAAAAATCATCCATAAAAACCCAAATCTCTCCCCAGGGTGATGTAATTTCCTTTAACCCTCTGTAGGTGAGACACCTAAAGGGGCTGCAGGAGAGGGGCTGGGGACAAGGCATGGAGGGACAGACCCAGGGAATGGCTCCCAGTGCCAGAGGGCAGGGCAGGACTGGAAATGGGCACCAAAACTGAATTGGAGATGCCTCTTTACACATCTAGATAATTCCCCATCTACCTCCAAGAGTCCCCAGCTGGCACATGAGGGTCCAGATCACCCCCAATCATCAGCAGAGCCCCCACAGCAGAGTTTGCAGTGGGAGGGTTTGTGGCTGACCAGACCAATGTGGGTTTTCTGTGAGATTATTTTCCTTTTCGTGTCAGGCCACTATTGAACAGCTCAATCCTGCTTCCCTTCCAGGAAGAAGGTTAAAAATCCAAGCAGCAAATACCAGGAGTGGCAAGGAGTGAGGTCAGAGTTTGAAGAGCTTTTGATATAGTAAGTCTGGAATTTGTTTAAGGCTTTCTGAAGTGTGATTTGAATAGGACAGGGGATCCTTCCTGCTTTCCTTTCTTGTTTCAGTTTTCTGAGTTACTTTTGCATGAACAGAGGGACAATTGAGGAACACAGGGCAGGGGCTGATTTCTCTCCCAGACCACTGTGGTCCTAAAATTGTTCACACCCTGATCACTGCCTGATGTGGATGGAACTGCCCCTGGGTCTGGCGATGGATTCATTTCCCCTCTCTGTGTGTGATTTTTGGGTACCTTCCTTATCTTTTTGTAGATTCAATGTTTTGTCAAGATTCTGTGCCAGAAATTTGGCTGCACGAAAATCACAGGATCATTTCTCTCTCACTGTCTGATCTGGCATTGACTTTGCTTCCCTCTCCCTGGGCTCAAAGAGAAGAAAGCCAACACACAGAATTATCCCTAAACTCCTGCAGTTTCTGCAGATTTCCTGAATTATTGATATAATTTTCCCTTTTTATTGGATGTTGCATTAAACCCAGCTCTCTCTTCCCTCTGTCTTCATTAAATCACTTTGTTCTCCACTCTCCCCATTCTCCTTAAGCTCCCAGTTTTAATAAATCATCCCTCATCAACTGATGGTGGAAACCTCATCTTCCATTTTCTCACTTTGACTTCCCTCCTCCCTGAGGGGCTCAGGAGAGTCATTTCTTGGGCTTTGCCTTATCAGGAGGCTCCAGATAAGACAAAGCTGGGCCGAAAGCTCTGCCTGGGCCGAAACCAAAACCCTGCCCAAGTTCCCCCTCTGCTTTGGCAAAGGGCAAGTAGACATGACAAGTTCTGGGATTTCTGTACTCAAATGTGTCCTTTAGCTGAAGGGAGGAGGGGAACCCCGCTGCACAAGTCACAAGTGGAGTTTCTGCGATTTCGAGTTCCTCCACGCTTCTTTCATCGATCAAAGCCTCATTAATGAAGTGCCCTCTAATCAAAGAGCTCTCTGCAGGCTCTGTTTGGCTGTTCCATGTTCCCATTTAGAAACAGCAGAAGTGTCACAGCCTGTCCGTGTCCCTGAGTCACCCTGGGACTCCTGCCCTGCCCTATGGATTACGGGATCCCTGTAATGAGTCAGGGATATAAATCATATAAATCATATAAATCAATAATATAAATAATCCCGGGGTCAGCACAGCTCCAGGAAAATGCGGGAGCCCTGGGGCAGTGTCACCTTCCCGCAGTGTTGGGATCTCTAGCTGCTCACAGTGACCCCGAGAAAATTCCAAAGTCTCTTTTCCCAGCCGGGTGCTTGAAGAAGGAGTCAGGGCTCTTCATTTCTCAGTCTCAAGGTTGTTTATTTTATCTTATGTGTAAAAAATTTTCTCCTGTGTGACAGTGGTCACAAGGGTTGCAGGATGAAGAGAGAGGTGAGAATGTTGACTTCATGTTCAGAAGGCTTGATTTATTATTTTATGAAATATATTACATTATGACTATACTAAAAGAAATAGAAGGGAAAGTTCTCAGAAGGCTGGCTAAGCTAAGAATAGAAAAGGAATGAATAACAAAGGTCTGTGTCTCAGCAGAGAGTGAGACTCAGCTCTGCCGTGAGTGGTCAGTAAATCCAAACATCCACCCGAGACCAAGAGACCAATCACAGGTGCACCTGTTGCATTCCATAGCAGCAGATAACCATTGTTTACATTTAGTTGCTGAGGCCACAGCTTCTCAGAAGGGAGAAAAATCCTAAAGAAAGGATTTTTCACAAAAGATGTCTGTGACACTCCTGCGCTGCCCAAGTCAGCTCAGCAGGCCAGTCCAGGCACTCTGCCTGCCCCCAGGGCAGTGTTATGTCCTTATACTAAAAACTACGTGTACCATATTTATAATTCCTTCCCAATACCTATCACCTACGTTAGACAGTGAGCTTCTACTCTAAACCAGCCTGTAAGAGCCACCATCCCAGCAGAAGATGGAGGCCAAGAAGAAGAAGGAGAAAGGCTGGACATGCCCAGATCCCTCCATCTTGCCTCCTGAACCCCCATTCCAAAAACCCCAAAATCCACCCTTCCACCCCGTGACAACTTCACTGTCATTGTACTTAAACTGTCATGGCCTGCTGATCTTCATCTAAGGTTGGTAACTTGCTCCACGGGTCACAATCAAACCCACAGGGGCATTCTGGGCTCTGTGCCAGGGTCTCTGAGCCCCTGGCAGGGTCTGGGCTGCTCAGGACAGACAGAGGGGTGTCCTGGGTTCTGACACCACGGGTCCGGGACAGCTCGGGGCAGGCAGGCTCAGACTGTGCTTGTGCTCCTTCCTGCCGTCCATCCTTTGTGTCGGGGTTAGAGGCTGTGAGATGCTCACCTGTTTTATCGCTGCCCCGCCCTGCAAACGCCCCGAGAGCCGGGGGCCAAGGGACAGGCAGAAATCTTCCCCAGGATGGAGAAACAGCTGAACTGCAGCGAAATCCAGTGATTCATCCCCGGATGGAGAGAGACCTGAACTGCAGCAAAATCCAGTGATTCATCCCCGGATGGAGAGAGACCTGAACTGCAGTGAAATCGAGTGATTCACCCACTGGGAACCCGAGCTGCCAGCCCTGCCCCGGTGAACCCGAGCTCCTGCTGCTGCTCCTGGCGCTCTCCTCTGCTCGGAAATGCCGCGGCAGCGCTGCCAGCTCTGCTCAGGCACCCAAACATCATCTGCACTCGTCAGAGCTGTTTGAAGCACCCTTAACTATAGTGGCTATTTTTGTCCCCGAAGAAGGAGGAAGAATGAGGAGGACTCCGTCTTGTCAGAAGGCTAATTAATTACTTTATTATACTATCTTATTCTATACTATATTACATTACATCTAAACTGAGTCTGCCAAGCAGTCACACCTGCACACAACTGCACAGAATCTGTGACTGTCACCTGACAATCCTCACACACACACACACACACACACAGACACACCTGGCCCTGACAGGCCAAGGAAACAAACACCATCACTCTGGGTAACAATCTCCACGTTGCATTCTGCTTTTGCACAAACACAGGCACAGCAAACGAGATAAGAATTGTTTTTCCTTTCTCTGATGTTCAGACAATGTGAAACCCAGAAATATTCTTGGGAAGAAATGTGCCTTGCTTTTCTCTGAGAAGAGAAATGAGGTGACACCTAACCTTGCTCAGTTCCTTTGGTCCGCAGTCCTGCCAGTCCTGCTGACACAATTGTACCACTATTGATAATGATAATAATACCAGCATATTTCCCCTCTGAAGTGTTTAGGAGAGTATTTCGGCTGTGTTCAGGAGACACACAAAATACCCCTCTGCTTCAGCTGCTTTTAACCAAAACAGTGTTTTCGGTCACAATCTGCCGTCACTGGCGTCAGCTGGAGGTGTGTGGTTACTGTCACCAGGGGCTGCTGCCGTGCCCAGTGCAGCCGCAGAAACCCGGGGCGAGATGTCCTCACATCAACCACAGGGACAGCGACAGGAAAAGGGGCAGGGGCCGTGACAGGGACAAGAACAGCGATAGGGAATGGATGGGGATGGGGAGAGGGGCTGGGGAGGGAGGCGGGGGCAGGAACGGACGGGGGCAGGTACTCGGACAGGACAGGAGAAGGGGACAGAGACAAGGACAGGGGCAAGAGAAGGGGCAGGACGGGCCCGGGGCCCGGGGCAGCGCGGCCCTCCCGGCTGATCCCGGAGCCTGCGGGGCCCTCGGGCGGGGCCGGGCCGGACTCAGCCCCCGGGGGCGGTGGCGGTGACAGAGGCGGTGGCAGAGGCGGTGACAGGGGCGGTGACAGGGGCGGAGCGGTGGCCGCGGCCGTGCGGGGTCGGAGCGTGCGGCCGCCGCAGCCCAGCCCGGCCCGGCCCGGCCCAGCCCGGCCCGGCCGCGCTCGGGGGACCCGCGGCCGAGCGGGGCCATGCGGGGCCGGGCTCCGCTCCGCTCCCTCCCGCTCCTGCTGCTTCTGCTGGTGCTGGGCTCGGCCGCAGGTGGGTGCGGGGCCGGGGAGTGCGGGGTTCCGTGTTTGTGGGGTTCGGGAGATGCGGGGTTCGGGGGGATGCGGGGTTCGGTGTTTGCGAGGTTCGAGAGATTCGAGGTTCGGTGCCCGCGGGCTCCGGGTGCCCGCGGCGCGGTCTCGGTTCCCGCGCGGGGCCTGTGCCGGTGTCCCCTGTGCCTTCCCCCCGCCCCGGCTCTCAGGGCCCAGAGCAGCCTCTGGGGCCTGGCCGGGCTCTGCCCGTGTCCGGGGCCGGTCCTGCCCAGTCCAGGCTCTGCCCTGCCTGGCCCGGGTTCGGCCCTGCCCAGCCCGGGTTCGCTCCTGCCCAGCCCGTGTTTGCTCCTGCCCGTCCCGGGTTCGGCCCTGCCCAGCCCGGGTTCGCTCCTGCCCAGCCCGGGTTCGCTCCTGCCTAGCCCGGGTTCGCTCCTGCCCAGCCCGGGTTCGCTCCTGCCCAGCCCGGGTTCGCTCCTGCCCGGCCCGGGTTCGCTCCTGCCCAGCCCGGGTTTGCTCCTGCCCAGCCCGGGTTCGGCCCTGCCTAGTCCAGGCTCGCTCCTGCCCGGCCCGGGTTCGGTTCGGCCCTACCCGGCCCGGTTCGGTCGTGCCCAGCCCCGGGTTCGCTCCTGCCCGGCCCGGGTTCGCTCCTGCCCGGCCCGGGTTCGGCCCTGCCCAGTCCTGGCTCGGTCCTGCCCGGCCCCGGGGTGCTGCTCCCAAACCCCGCTGTGGTGGAGCCCGGGCCGGGCCGCCGGGGATTGTGTGGGGCTGTGGGCACCGTCCGGAGCTCGTGGCGTGGCGGAGATTTGGGAAGTGGCACATCCCGTTAAATGGCGTTTAAATGTGTGGATGGACGCGAGTTTGGGTTTGGGTTTGGTGGAAATGCTCTGCACGCTCGAGCTCTGTGACCCCGGCTCCAGGTGTGTCCCAGGGGAGCCGCTCTGCTCTGAGCCAGGCTGGGAGAGCTGGGGGTGCTCACCTGGGGAGGAGAAGCTGCAGGGAGAGCTCCGAGCCCCTGGCAGGGCCTGCAGGGGCTCCAGCAGAGCTGCAGAGGGACTGGGGACAAGGCCTGCAGGGACAGCACCCAGGGAATGGCTGCCAGTGCCAGAGGGCAGGGCTGGGTGGGATCTTGGCCATGAGGAATTGTTCCCTGGCAGGGTGGGCAGGCCCTGGCACAGGGTGCCCAGAGCAGCTGGGGCTGCCCCTGGATCCCTGGCAGTGCCCGAGGCCAGGCTGGACACTGGGGACAGTGGCAGGTGTCCCTGCCATGGCAGGGGTGGCACTGGGTGGGATTTGAGGTCTCTCCCAACCCAAATCAGTCTGGGATTCCGTGATTCTAAACCCCTGCATCCCTGGCAGTGCCCAAGGCCAGGTTGGACATGGGCTTGGAGCAGCCTGGCACAGTGGAAGGTGTCCCTGCCATGGCAGGGATGGGATGGGATAAGGTTAAAATCCCTCCCAATCCAAACCACTCCAGGATGGAACGAGCTGTGCACAGAATGTGGTGCTCCCTCCAGCACTCAGGCTCCCCGTGAATTCAGCATGTCCCATGTCCTGGTGGTGCCCACGGCCTGCCTGACCAGCCTGGCCCTGGTGAGCCCTGTGGGGCTCTCTCCAGACCCGCTGGCTGGACTGAGGCAAACCAGGGCAGGGCCTGCTGCCGTCGGCATTGCTCGGTTTCATCCCATCAGCAGCCGCGGGACTTCCCAGGGAGCTCTGGGAATCCCAGAATCCCAAAATAGGTTGGATCAGGAAGGAGCTTGTAGCTGGTCTCGTTCCAACCCCCTGCCATGGAAACCAATCTTGCACTATTCCTGAGAAGCCTCTTTGTTGCACTGGAACAGCAAAAGTCCGCACAAAATCCCCCAAAGCCCAGACTCCTGTTGTGCCAGGGCAGCAGGATGGTTGCTGGGGGCTGATGCAGGGAAGGGATCGGGAATCCCTGAGGAGCAGCAGGAGCTGGGACACGGAGGGGTCGCCCGAGCCAGGCTGCTTTCACTGGCTGTGATTGTGGCTTCACACTCTGCTGTGAAAGTTCTGACTCGTGGTTTGAAGTACCTTGAATCGTCTGAACAGCAGGAAAAAACAATCTGAGCCTCCTTGGGCTGCTGCTCTGAAAGGAGCAGGCCGGTGCAAACCCCAGCCAGGAGGGATGGGACCTCTCTGCTTCCCCTGGCTGAGGGAGTTTGGGGTTTTGAGGGTGCTTGGCCCCGTGGGTGCTGTGTTTGAAGCGTTCACGTTGTTATTTTAGGCCGTGCCAACTGGAGATGAGGAGGAAGTTGAGCGTGGGCTTTCAGCAGTCGCAGTCCCTGCCCTGTGAGGGAGGGATCTGACAGAAATTCAGATTTCCCTGGCTGCTGAGGAGGAAGCAGCTCCTCAGCCTCGTGGCACCCTCGTGGCAGCCCTCAGAGGGCACATGGGCCCTGGGGTGCTCTTGGTGAGCTCTGCAGTGCCTTTGATAATCTCTGCAGTGTTTTCGATGAGCTCTGCAATGTTTTTGAGGCTGGCAGGGGAAATGACTCATTTTTGAATGCAAAACAAGCAGCGTGCAGCCAGGGGATCCCAGACTGGGCTGGAGGGAGCTTAAATCCCACCCTGCCATGGCAGGGACACCTCCCACTGTCCCCAGTGCCCAGCCTGGCCTTGGGCACTGCCAGGGATGCAGGGGCAGCCCCAGCTGCTCTGGGCACCCTGTGCCAGGGCCTGCCCACCCTGCCAGGGAACAATTCCTCACTGCCAAGATCCCATCTGCCCTGTCCTTCACTGCTCTCGATTTGCTTTAAGGTGTGGTGGGAATTGCTGCCTGTGGTGTTTGGTTCTCAGAGCTTCCTGGGATTCTGCAGAGCAGAGTGTGACAGAGGTCTGAGGGCACAGATGGTGTGAGATACCTCACCACGTGCCAGACCAGCAGCGAGAGTGCAAGAAAGGATCCGTGGGACTGGAACGTGAAAATTTCTCACCAGTTTAGAGACGGCTCCTTGGGGGCCTTCAAAAACACCTGGGAGGCGAATGGATTGGGAAACTGTGAGGGATCTCCCACAGGTTTGCTTAGGGAAGCTGTGAGGGATCTCCCGCAGGTTTGGTTTGGTTTGGGAAGCTGTGAGGGATCTCCCAGAGGTTTGGTTTGGGAAGCTGTGAGGGATCTCCCTGAGGTTTGGTTTGGGAAGCTGTGAGGGATCTCCCGCAGGTTTGGTTTGGTTTGGGAAGCTGTGAGGGATCACCCACAGGTTTGGTTTGGTTTGGGAAGCTGTGAGGGATCACCCAGAGGTTTGGTTTGGGAAGCTGTGAGCGATCTCCCACAGGTTTGGTTTGGTTTGGGAAGCTGTGAGGGATCACCCAGAGGTTTGGTTTGGGAAGCTGTGAGGGATCTCCCACAGGTTTAGTTTGGGAAGCTGTGAGGGATCTCCCAGAGGTTTGGTTTGGTTTGGGAAGCTGTGAGCGATCTCCCACAGGTTTGGTTTGGTTTGGGAAGCTGTGAGCGATCTCCCACAGGTTTGGTTTGGGAAGCTGTGAGGGATCTCCCACAGGTTTGGTTTGGGAAGCTGTGAGGGATCACCCAGAGGTTTGGTTTGGGAAGCTGTGAGGGATCTCCCACAGGTTTAGTTTGGGAAGCTGTGAGGGATCTCCCAGAGGTTTGGTTTGGTTTGGGAAGCTGTGAGCGATCTCCCACAGGTTTGGTTTGGTTTGGGAAGCTGTGAGGGATCTCCCACAGGTTTGGTTTGGTTTGGGAAGCTGTGAGGGATCTCCCACAGGTTTGGTTTGGGAAGCTGTGAGGGATCTCCCGCAGGTTTGCAAAGCTGGACCAGCCATGTGTGTTCTGAGAGCTCTGCCTGAGAAATTATTGACAGGCCTGTGAGAAATTATTGACAGGCCTGATGAAACTTTGAGAGAAACACGGCCTGGCTTGTCTGTGTTTGAGGTCACCCTGTTCCACCCCTGCCAGGGACGGGGTTACCTCTCACTGTCCCAGATTGCCCCAGCCTGCTGCCCTTGGACATTTCCAGGAATGGGGCAGCCACAGCTTTTCTTGGAAAGCCGGGGCTCAACTCGTTATTTGGTACTTTGGACTTAGGGTTTAATGCAACTTGATGTAGAAATCAAAAAACCACAAGCTTTTTAACAGGAATCCACATTTCCACGTAAGCCTGGGCCTGAATTTGACTCAAGTCAAGCTTGATCTTCTGATCTCGTTGATGTAAAAATTAACAGACTGTGTCTTAGGAGACTCTGTTCTTCAGAGTTAAAAGTTACCTGCTGTGTTGTGGGGTATTTTGTCACGGCTCTTTGTCAGGCCAGGCTGGAAGGTGGGAGCACTGGGTGATCTGTGAAGTCCCTTCCAAGCCCACCATTCCCTGATTCTGTGACTCTGACGGTGTGAGGAGTCGCTCCAGAAAAGCACATGGGGTGCAGAAGGAAAACCTTTGTCCCTGCAGGCTCCAGGAGAGATGCCAGGGCTGCTGGGGCTGCCCCTGGAGCCTGGGCCGTGTCCTGCAGAGGTTTTGGCTCTGCTGTTCCTCCCTGGCTCCGGCTGCTCCCTCCCTTCTCCTCAGCCCTTCCTCCTCCCCGCCGCCCCCATTTCCCTTTTCTCTTTGCCTGTGCCTGCCCTCCAGCCCCTGCCTGGCTCTGTCCCTTTTTTGGCCATGTTTTGGCAGCTTCCTCCTCCCCGTCCTGGGCTGTCAGTCTGTCCTTTCCTGTCCCACAGCTCTTCTCTGTGGTTTGCCCCTCCTGAGCAGGAGCTGGAGGCCGATGGTGGCTGCTGCAGTGTGAAAAACACCAATCACTTGTTTTTAAAGTTAAAAAAAGTTTAATGATAATAAAATGGTTATAAAATTAGCAATGTAATTAGAGTAATAATAATTTGGACAATTTGGATTAGGACAATATGAGACAATAAAAACAAAGAGTTACAGACAGTCTGGGTACCTTTTCTGGGCAAAATAAGCCCAAAAAAGGACCCACGTTAACAGAGGATTAACCCTAAAAACAATAACCTGTTGCATATTCATACACCTCATCCATGATGCATAAATTCCATTCAAACACAGGATTCTGGCTGGGCAGTGTCAGCTTCTTCCTCTGAATCCTAAGGGTGTCTTTATGCCTGAGCAGGCAGGAAGAAGTTCATTTCTCCTGATAATGGAGCAATAAATTCTCTTTCTCTGAAAGGTTCAGGTGTCCTGTGGCTGCTATCTCCCTGGGAGCCCTTTCTTTAAAAAAAGTATCCTACATGGCATAATTTCTATTTGAACATTTTGTTATGACCTGAAACTATATTTGACACACTACTTAAGAGAATTAATACAGCATGACTTTCTAACACAACACATATAATATTCATTTGAATATTTGCCAAAAGCCAATCATGAAATACACATTTTTCACAGCTGGGTTTGGGGCCCTCCCCACCCACAGAGCTCCTGCCATTTCCTGCCTGGTGAGATCGCCCCCAAAGCTGGCACAACCAGAGGCTCCTCACGGCCACCACGTCTCCCTGAAGGGTTTTCTTTTTCCCAGCTGGCTCCTGGAAGGTTTCACTGGAAGGACCTCAGGGTCAGCAGGAGGCAGATGGGGGGAAAAAGAGAGGAGAAGCTGCAGGGAGAGCTCAGAGCCCCTGGCAGGGCCTGCAGGGGCTCCAGCAGAGCTGCAGAGGGACTGGGGACAAGGCCTGCAGGGACAGCACCCAGGGAATGGCTGCCAGTGCCAGAGGGCAGGGCTGGGTGGGATCTTGGCAGTGAGGAATTGTTCCCTGGCAGGGGGGGCAGGCCCTGGCACAGGGTGCCCACCTGGGCTGTGCAGGGAGGCAAAGGTGAGCTGCAATAGAACAGAGCAGCTGCTGTGGTCACCAGTGGGCAGAAGAGGGGCTGGAAAACCTTCCAGAAAAACCAGAATGTTCTGTGAGGAGCAGAAAGGGGCTGAGCCTGGAGCAAAGGAGGCTCAGGGGGGCCCCCATTGCTCTGCACAAGTCCCTGCCAGGAGGGGCAGTGAGGGAGTTTGGGCTCTGCTGCCTGTCCCAAGGGAAAGGAGGAGAGGAAATGGCCTCAAATGGCACCAGGGCAGGGGCGGATCAGAAAAAAACCAGTTTCCCTCTCAGAGTGGTCAGGCCTTGGGCTGAGCTGCCCAGGGAGGTTTGGAGTCCCTGGCATTGTCCCAGAGCAGTCTGGATGTGGCCTTGGGGACAGGGATTGGGGTGCTGCTGGTGGGGCTGGGGTGGCACTGGGAGATCCCAAAGGGCTCCTCCAGCCCTGGTGGTTCTGGGATTTTGGGACCCTCATTTGTGGCTTCATGGGGGACTGGCTTGGGTTTGTGGTTCTGTGCCAGGCTTGGTACTTTCAGCTTTATGTTCTTTATGGAATGAATAAAAACCAGGGAGTTGGAATTCATGGATAGACAGAATCCCAGACTGGTTTGGGTTGGGAGGGACCCTAAATCCCACCCAGTGCCACCCCTGCCATGGCAGGGACACCTCCCACTGTCCCCAGTGTCCAGCCTGGCCTTGGGCACTGCCAGGGCCCCTGGAAACAGAGGGAGAAGGAGGAGAAATGGTTTTATCTGCAAAGCAGTGAAAATTTAATACATAGTGATGGAATTTGGAGACCAAAATTTAGTTACTTGGATGTTTCCATAACTTTTTTATTCCTCTTCTTGTTTTAGAAACTCCTCCCTATTTACCAGCCCCCCAAAATGTGGAGGTTTATTCCTACAACTTCCAGAGCTTGCTGAGGTGGTCTCCTGTTCCAGTGGAGAATGGCACAGTGCTATACACAGCTGAGTACCAGACGTGAGTAAACAGTAAATAAAACCAACTCAGTTTGTTCTAATCCAGGATAACAGCTGGTTTTAAAAAGCCCAGAAACCCTGAAAATGAATAAGCACAGAGTGAAAGGACGTTTTTTATCACGGATGTTTTTATGGATCTCCAAGTGCAGCTCCTGGTGAGTGGCAGGCCCTTGGCCCATGAGTGTCCTCTGAGCTGAGGAGAGATTGCAGCCCTGAGGACACCCAGAGGTGCTGCACAGGATTTTAGCCTGTCCTGATTCTCTCTGGCCAATTTAAATTTCCTCAGATTGAGGGGGGAAAATGGTTAGTTTAACCCTTGTGAAGCCAGAGCTGTGTAACACATTCTTGTCTCACCAGAACTGGCTGGGAGGGGGGTGGTGTTCCAGGGGGCTGCACTGCCTGCTCTTGGTTTATTGTTGTCTTGGTTTGAAAGCCAGGTGTCTGCAAGGAGGGCAGGAGCCTCCCCTGAAATGGAAAATGTAAACTCCCTTCCTCCAAATTATTATAATTTTGCTCTTGGTTTATTGCTGTCTTGGTTTGAAAAGCCACCTGTCTGTAAGGAAGGCAGGAGCCTCCCCTGAAATGGAAAATGTAAACCCCCTTCCTCCAAATTATTATCATTTTGAAATTAAGGGGCTCTCGGGCAAAGATATGGGAGTAGGAATAACAGTTCTTTACTAGGAAAAACTAAAAATAAAATTGCAAGAGTACAAAAAAAGAAAACAAACCACTGTCCCCCTGTGTGTCAGGGTGGTGGCACAGCCCCAGTCAAAATACCCCTTTTTCAAGGGCAGGAAAATCACCTTAAAATCTTTTCCTGCCGTTGATAAAAATCATGGGTGAGATAAAGAACACTGCCCCACCTGGTTTCAACAGACAGTGATATGTTGTAGTTGAGATGGAGACCATACAAAACCACACACTCCATTTCAGAAGGCTTCAAGCTGGTTTTATTTTAGCATGCATGCTTTTTACACATTCTTACAAAGCCCAGAAGTTTGCACTTTACTAATTGGTCAGGAGAGACAAACAAAGTGCTCATTGGAACGGGCAGTTGCAGGTTTCTCTTGTTTATCCTTCTTCCTTTCTTGGTTTCTGTGTCAATGACCTTGGTGGAGTCTGTGCCCAGCTCTGGCCCCTCAGTTTGGGAAGGACCTTGGGACACTGAGCACATCCAGAGGGGCCAACGAGGCTGGAGAGGGAACACAAACCCTGTGAGGAAGCCCTGAGGGAGCTGGGGGTGCTCGGCCTGGAGAAAAGGAGACTCAGGGCTGCCCCCATCACTCTCACAGCTCCTGAAAGGGGCCTGTGCTCACCTGGGGCTGGGCTCTGTCTGCAGCAGCACTGACACACCCAGAGCACACAGCCTCGAGCTGCACCAAGGGAAATACAGGCTGGAGAGCAGGGAAAAGGTTTTTCCAGCCAGGGTGAGAAAGTTCTGGAATGGCTGCCCGGGGAGGTGGGGGAGTCCCCATCCCTGGGTGTGTTTAACAGAGCCTGGATGTGGCACTGGGGGCCAGGGTTTGGTTGGGGCTGGGCTGGACTCGATGGTCTGGAAGGTCTCTCCCAACCCAGGGATTCTGGGATTCTGTGAGCTCTGTGAAAACTCTTTCAGGGGTAAACATGGATCCTCTTACCATGGATCCTCTTACCATGGATCGTCTTACCAACCTCTCTGGCTCACAGAAGTGCTGTAAAACCCCTTCCCCAGTGACAGAGCCCACACTGGGGACAGACCCCATGCTGGTGACAGACCCACACTGGTGACAGAGCCCACACTGGGGACAGAGCCCACACTGGTGACAGACCCACACTGGTGACAGAGCCCACACTGGGGACAGAGCACACACTGGGGACAGAGCCCACACTGGTGACAGACCCACACTGGTGACAGAGCCCACACTGGGGACAGAGCACACACTGGGGACAGAGCCCACACTGGGGACAGAGCACACACTGGGGACAGACCCACACTGGTGACAGAGCCCACACTGGGGACAGACCCCACACCGGTGACAGAGCCCACACTGGTGACAGAGCACACACTGGGGACAGACCCACACTGGTGACAGAGCACACACTGGTGACAGAGCACACACTGGGGACAGACCCCACACTGGTGACAGAGCACACACTGGGGACAGAGCACACACTGGGGACAGACCCACACTGGTGACAGACCCACACTGGGGACACACCCCACACTGGTGACAGAGCACACACTGGTGACAGAGCCCACACTGGTGACAGAGCACACACTGGTGACAGAGCACACACTGGGGACAGACCCCACACTGGTGACAGAGCACACACCGGTGACAGAGCCCACACTGGTGACAGACCCACACTGGTGACAGAGCCCACACTGGTGACACACCCCACACTGGTGACAGAGCGCACACTGGGGACAGAGCCCACACTGGTGACAGAGCCCACACTGGTGACAGAGCCCACACTGGTGACACACCCCACACCCCTGTGCTCCCCTCTGGCCCTCAGCCTCAGGGCTGTGTTTGCTGTGCTCTGCAGAGGCTCCCGCAGGAACTGGAGTGACCTGGGCTGTGCACGGAGCCCCCAGCCCCAGTGCCCGTTCCCCCCCGAGCTGCAGCGGCGCCGCTGGACCGTCCTGCTGCGGGTGCGTGCCCAGCTGGGCACGCTGGCATCCCCCTGGGCACACTGCCCCGCCTTCGTGGCTGAGAGAGACAGTGAGTGCTGGGGCAGCCTGAGCCGGGGGTCTGGGGACAGCTGGGGCTGAGACAACAGTGAGTGCTGGGGCAGCCTGAGCCGGGGGTCTGGGGACAGCTGGGGCTGAGACAACAGTGAGTGCTGGGGCAGCCTGAGCCGGGGGTCTGGGGACAGCTGGGGCTGAGACAACAGTGAGTGCTGGGGCAGCCTGAGCCGGGGGTCTGGGGACAGCTGGGGCTGAGACAACAGTGAGTGCTGGGGCAGCCTGAGCCGGGGGTCTGGGGACTGCTGGGGCTGAGATAACAGTGAGTGCTGGGGCAGCCTGAGCCGGGGGTCTGGGGACTGCTGGGACACAAACCAACAGTGAGTGATGGGGATCAGCCTGCTCAGGGCTCTGGGGACAGCCAGGCTGCTGTGGTGGTGTTTGTGGGTCCCAGGATGAGGGAAGAGATGAGAATCTTGACTCCGTGCTTCAGAAGGCTGATTTATTATTTTATTATATTTATTGTATTAAAAGAAAATTATGTGATAACACTATACTAAAGGAAAAGATTCATCAGAAGGCTTCAAAGGAATAGAAAGGAATGATAATAAATTCTTGTGACTGACCAGACAATCTGGACAGCTGACTGTGATTGGCCATTAATTAGAAACAACCACATGAGACCAATCCCAGATGCACCTGTTGCATTCCACAGCAGCAGATAATCATTGTTTGCATTTTGTTTCTGAGGCCTCTCAGCTTCTCAGGACAAGAGATTCTAGCAAAAGGATTTTTCAGAAAATATGTCCATGACAGGCTGCCTCTCTGGGCTCTGCTGGGACAGGGGGGCCCCAAGGAGCTGGGACAGAGGCCAGATGAGCTCAGAGGAATAAAGGGGATATTTATTGAAGGGCCTTTTGAGTGGTTTTGGGGCTGGCTGGGGGAATGACTCATTTCTAAATGCAAGATAATCAGTGTGCAGTCATGGCATCCCAACTGGATTGGGTGTAGGGAGCTTAAATCCCACCCAGTGCCACCCCAGCCATGGCAGGGACACCTCCCACTGTCCCCAGTGCCCAGCCTGGCCTTGGGCACTGCCAGGGATGCAGGGGCAGCCACAGTCCTGGCTCTGCCCAGGTGGCTCCAAGATGGAAGCAAAAGAGCTTGGGCATGAGATGTCACATTTTTATAGTTTTAGTCCATTTGCATACAGGAGTTAACTGTCTAATAATAACTTCAAATTATGAAGTTTCATCCTCCTTGCTCGCTTGCCCACCCTCCTGTTTTCACATTGTTTGTGCTTTGGGCCTGAAGTTAAAAGAGATTGGCCTTGAGTCTCCAGCTGGAATGGGATGGGTTTGTCTTCCCCACTCTGTGAAAAGATCCTAGTAAAAAGGATAATACAAAGCTTAATATAAAGCTTAATATAATATAGTATAACTTAATATACAGCTCAAAGCTGCACACCAAAACAGAACAGAGAAACCTGAAACCCAAGGTGTCAATGGGATCGAGCTGTTATTGTCCCCAAAGACTCTGAGGCCTCCCCAGGGTTTGGTTCTGCTCTGCTCTCTCAGGTGTCACCAGAGGAGCCCCTGAGCCTCCTGGGTGGTTGGGCCTTCAGAGAGCCCCAGTGTTCTTTTACTGGAGGATTTTCCACGTTCTCATTTCCCCTCTCAGCTCTGCCCACACACACACCACCAACTCTCTGAGGCTAAACCACCTCTTTCTGCTGGACATGTCCCTTTTCTGATAAACAAGAAGTGTCCTGATAAATATAAATTGTCTAAAGTGTCTTGATAAATATAATTTGTCCTGATAAATATAATTTGTCCTGATAAGTATAAATGGTTCATTTAAGTATAAATGGTTCAGATAAATAGAAATGGTTCAGAGAAATAGAAATTGTTTACAGTACAGTGTAGAAGTGTCAAGGCCACACTTTAAATCCCAGACTGGTTTGGGCTGGAGGGACCTCAGAGCCCACCCAGTGCCACCCCTGCCATGGCAGGGACACCTCCCACTGTCCCCAGTGCCCAGCCTGGCCTCGGGCACTGCCAGGGATGCAGGGGCAGCCACAACCCCTCTGTGTGAGCAGGTTTGGTGCTGCTTTTCTGAGATCTGCTCTTTGTCCTGCTGTGCTTGGTTTTACGATTAAGAGAAAAGTCAATGTTCAGGTTCAAAAGTTCCTTTGAAATGGGAGCTAAGCAGGGAAGGGATTTAAGGGCTCTGCAGTCCCTGATCTCCCAGAGCTGCTGAGTGTGGGACAAAGCAGAGCCTGGGGGGACAGGAGGAACATTCTGGGGCATTCCTGTGTCGCTGTCCTGGAGATCAGTTCCCAGAAACCAAACCCATGGCTCCTCCTTCAGTGGAGGATCTGGATTTGAGGCACAGTGAGGAGCTGGTGCATGCAAGGAGGGATTTTTGCTGTTATTTCTGACAGCACTCTATTGGTATTTTCATGATTTACACCTTGGAGCACTTCACAAAAGGATGTCACTAAGCTTATCCTGATGGACACATGGAGACATGAGAGCAAGGAGGGGAACACTCATTATTCCTCTTCCCATGTAGGGCCCAAACAGTGGCGGGGTTTTGGGGAGCATGGAGGGTGTGGCATGTGATCAAAGGAAGAGAAAATATAATGGTTTTATGGCCAGTAACTGCAGATAAACTGAGACACTTCAGAGCATCAGCTATTGGTTAATATTTACAAAATTTCCAGGAAAAGTTAAGCAAATATTGTAAATGCATAAAGTAGGTGGGGAGATGTTTGCCCTTCCTGAGCAAAAGCTGTTGATATTTGGGGTGTGTGCTGAGAGTGTCCAGGGCAGGGAATGGAGCTGCAGGATCCCTGAGGAGCTGGAAGGGGCTGCAGAATCCCTGAGGGAGCTGGAAGGGGCTGCAGAATCCCTGAGGAGCTGGAAGGGGCTGGAGAATCCCTGAGGGAGCTGGGAAGGGGCTGCAGAATCCCTGAGGAGCTGGAAGGGGCTGCAGGATCCCTGAGGAGCTGGGCAGGGGCTGCAGAATCCCTGAGGGAGCTGGAAGGGGCTACAGAATCCCTGAGGGAGCTGGGAAGGGGCTGCAGAATCCCTGAGGAGCTGGAAGGGGCTGCAGAATCCCTGAGGAGCTGGAAGGGGCTGCAGAATCCCTGAGGGAGCTGGAAGGTGCTGCAGAATCCCTGAGGAGCTGGAAGGGGCTGCAGGATCCCTGAGGAGCTGGAAGGGGCTGAGGCTGGAGCAAAGGAGGCTCAGGGGCCCTTGTGGCTCTGCACAAGGCCCTGCCAGGAGGGCACAGCCGGGGGGGTCGGGCTCTGCTGCCAGGGAACAGGGACAGGAGCAGAGGGAGCGGCCTCAGGCTGGGCCAGGGCAGGCTCAGCTGGGACAGCAGCAGCAATTTGCCCATGGAAAGGGAGCTCAGGCCTTGGCAGGGGCTGCCCAGGGAGCTTTGCAGTGCCCATCCCTGCAGGTGTGCCCTGGAGGTGGCACTGAGTGCTCTGCGCTGGGCACAAGGTGGGCACAGCTGGCACTGCATGGGCTGCCCCAGGGGTTTGGGGTTCTGTGGGGCTGCAGGCAGCTGTGCAGCCCGGGGTTTCCCTGCTCTCTGTGTTTGCTTTCAGCCACTCTGGGCCCCCCCAGGGTGAACAATGTCAGTGCCAGCTCTGGCTCTCTGCTGGTCAGTGTCAGCCCCCCCTTCGCCCCCGAGCCTGGGGACATCCTGCAGTACCTCGTGTCCTACTGGGAGAACAGCACCGGTGCCACAGCCAAGGTCAGAGTCCTCTCACGTCTGTTCCTGGGGGCTGGGGGCTGAGGGCAGGGTCGGTGTCCCTGGCAGGACAGCAGTGGGGACAGGAATTCAGAGGGTTCTGTGTGCCCTCAGCGAGGGTCACCACGGGGGCTGTGGGTACAGGGGTCTGGCCTTGGCACAAGCATTGCTGCCCTTCCCAGCTTGGGAACTCCCTGCTCTGCTTGGGAGGAGATGAAACCCTCTGCCCACCCAGGGACAGAGCTGCTGCCAGAGGTGACCTTGGGCTCCACAGCTCTCTGGGAAATCCCTCCTGCTCTGCTGTGCTGGGAGCAGCTGCTGGGGCTGGGTGTGCCTCAGCCCGAGCTGGGCTGAGCTGGGATCATCCCTGTGCATCCCGAGCCTCACAGGTGTGGGATCATCGTGTGCTGCTCCTGCTGCTCCCTGGGAATTGTGTTTGGACAGGCCAGAGGTGCAGGGCAGCTGTTAAGTCAGGCCTAAAAAAAAAAAATTAAAAAAGAGGAAGCTTCCAAATGACATCAATCTGAAGTCAAACACCTAAAAAAACAGAAGCAAAAACATTTATTTACAACTCCCTTCTGCCTCAAGATCTTTGTTAAATCATCTCCACTTCCTTCCTGCCTTGCAGCACCGTGTGTTTTTCTCACACAAGAACACCTTCAGCTGACAGCCAGGAAAGGAGCCGCTGTGGTTTCCTTTTCCCCTCCATTTCTCTGTGTTTTGCTCCCTGCCTGAGCTGCTGCAGAAGCTGCATGAAAATTCCCAGAAAAACTGAAATATTCCACTGCTTCTGTTGTTTGGGAAAGCTGAGTGAGGAAAAATAAAAGTAGGGTTTCTTGAATGAGAAATTTAAATGGGGGAGGGATATTAGTGTTGAAAACTGGTCTGGTTTTTACTGTAACACCTTTCTTGTTGTGTGTGTGCCTTTCCAGCAGAAGCTAAGTGAAAGCAAGACACTATTCCAAATTGGAAATCTAAAGGAGTCAACACTTTATTGCTTCAGAGTTCAAGTGCAGCTGTGGATTTACTCAGGGCACCTGTTGGAAGGGCTGCCCAGTGCCCCAGAGTGCCGCAGAACTGCCCTCAGTGGTAGGGACTGGGGTTTCTGTGGGGTGGGAGGGGGTGGAACACGAGTCCTGCATGCCCTGGGCTGTCCCTGCCACCCCCAGTGTGTCACCCGTGCTGGGGGCACCAGGGGACACCACTCCTGGCATCAGTGCCAAAAGAAGCAGGAGATTTCAGCCAGGCATGGAGGGAGTGTGGTACCTTCTCCTTTCCTTCCTAATCTGCTGGAAAATGGGATCAAGGGGCTGATCCCAGGGCTGGAGCCAGGCTGGGAGAGCTGGGGGTGCTCACCTGGAGAGGAGAAGCTGCAGGGAGAGCTCCGAGCCCCTGGCAGGGCCTGCAGGGGCTCCAGCAGAGCTGCAGAGGGACTGGGGACAAGGATGGAGGGACAGCACCCAGGGAATGGCTGCCAGTGCCAGAGGGCAGGGCTGGGTGGGATCTTGGCAATGAGGAATTGTTCCCTGGCAGGGTGGGCAGGCCCTGGCACAGGGTGCCCAGAGCAGCTGGGGCTGCCCCTGCATCCCTGGCAGTGCCCAAGGCCAGGCTGGGCACTGGGGACAGTGGGAGGTGTCCCTGCCATGGCAGGGTGGTTTTAGGGTCCCTCCCAACCCCAACCATCCCATCATTCCACCCACGTGAGCCTGCCATGTGCATTTGGATTTGTTTCCCTCTTTTCCAGAGGCAACCCGAGCTGGGTACATCATCCCCCTGTTTGTCCTGGCCTTGGTGGCTGCCAATCTGGTGGCAGCTGCTTTGCTGTTCCTGTGGAAACACCACCAGAACATCAAATACTGGGCTCAGCCCCCTCTGGAAATCCCATCCCACTTCAAGGAGGTGCGTGGGGCCTGGGGGTTTCTCCTGCAGCACAGAAACTGGGGGAGCATCCCCAGAGCAGTGAGCAGAAACAGAGATCAGCAAGTGGTGGCTCAAAATGTGCTTTGTGTCCTCTCCCACTCCTTTCCTGTTTGCTGAGCTGAGAGTTCCTTCCTGAGCCTGCCTGGGCTTTCCTGGCTGCTCCTGCTCCTGCTCCTCTCTCTTTCTCACCATGTTTTTGCCACTATTTTTATTTCTTTCTCATTATTTTTTGCCACTATTTTTATTTCTTTGCCACTATTTTTGCCACTATTTTAATTTCTTTTTCACTCTTTGTATCAGTCTGTTGCTCTCCTGGCAAACCCAGCCTGACTGCTCCTGCTTCCTGCTCCTCTGTCACTATTATTTTTGCCACTGTTTTTATTTCTTTGTCACTATTTTTGCCACTGTTTTTATTTCTTTGTCATTCTTTCTATCAGTCTATTGCCTTCCTGGCAAGCTCAACCGGACTGCTTCTGATTCCTGTTCCTCTTTCTTTGTCACCATTTTTTGCCACTATTTTTATTTCTTTGTCACTATTTTTTGCCGCTATTTTTATTTGTCACAATTTTTTTGCCACTGTTTTTATTTCTTTGTCACTCTTTCTATCAGTCTATTGCTTTCCTGGCAAACCCAGCCTGGCTGCTCCTGCTCCTCTTTCTTTGTCACCATTTTTTGCCTCTCTTTTTATTTCATTGTCACCATTTTTTACCGCTATTTTTATTTCTTTGTCATTATTTTTTTGCCACTATTTTTATTTCCTTGTCGCCATTTTTGGCCACTATTTTCATTCCTTTGTCACTCTTTCACTGTCAGGCCCTGGCCCCAGGCTGGGGCTCAGAGGTTTTGTGTCACAAGGGCTGAGCAGCTCTGCACAAGCCAACCCAGTTTGAAATATTTGAAATATTATTTTTATTTTGGTGATTATTTTGACGCCTCAGGATGATCTCCAGGGGCTGTTCCTGGGCAATTCCTCTTTTTGATTTTAGCAGGGCTCGGAGGAAACGCTCAGACATTTCTGGGTTAAACCACGTGGTTTCAGGGCTGCTCCTCTTCCTCTTTTTCCCTTGCACCAGCAGCAGCCCTCAGGCAGAGCTTCGATGTAAAACTTTTTATTCAGCATAAAATTCTGGGTTTTTTAAAAGGTTTTATTTGTGTGCAGCTCATGGAGGTGAATATTTTGTGTCTGCCAGAGCTCCTGTGGTTCTGGAAGAGAATTCTTAGATTTTCGTAGCCATGGGCTGAAGGAACCCGGAGTGAATAATTTGCAGCTGGCATTTCATAGGGGCCACTTGTCCAGGGAAGTTAGGGGAAAAAATCCATGTGCAGTGTGTTAAAATGGCAAAAAATCCTTGTGCAGGGTATGAAAATAATGAAAACCTTGTTCCATGATTAAAATAGTAAAAAAAATCTCTGTAATAATATTAAAATAGTAAAAAATCCTTGTACAGGGTATGAAAAGGATGAAAAAAAAATCCTTGTACAATGATTAAAATAGTAAAAAAAAAAAATCCCTGTGATTATATTAAAATAGTAAAAAAATCTTTGTGCAGGGCATGAAAATAATGAAAAAAATCCTTGTACAATGATTAAAATAGTAAAAAAAAATTCCATGTAATTATAATAAAATAGTAAAAAGTCCTTGTACTGGGTATGAAAAGAATGAAAAAAATCCTTGTACAATGATATAGTAAAAAAAAAATCCCTGTAATTATATTAAAATAGTAAAAAAATCCTTTTGCAGGGTATTAAATTAGTAAAAAAAACCCCCTTTTGCAATGATTAAAATAGTTTAAAAAAATCCCTGTAATTATATTAAAATAGTAAAAAAAATCTTTGTGCAGGGTATTAAAATAATGAAAAAAATCCTTGATTTTTTACAGTGATTTGCAATCATTTTTTTACAATTATTACAATAGAAAAAAAATTCCCTGTAATTATATTAAAATAGTAAAGAAAATCTTTGTGCAGGGTATTAAAATAATGAAAAAAAATCCTTTATTTTTTACAGTGATTTGCAATCATTTTTTACAATTATTAAAATAGAAAAAAAATTCCCTGTAATTATATTAAAATAGTAAAAAAATCTTTGTGCAGGGTATGAAAATAATGAAAAAAAATCCTTGTACAATGATTAAAATAGTAAAAAAAATCCCTGTAATTATATTAAAATAGTAAAATATCCTTGTACAGGGTATTAAAACAGTAAAAAAATTCCCTGTACAGAGTACTAAAATAGTGAAAAAATAAATCTCCTTGTACAGGGTATTAGAACAGTAAAAAAATGTGTAGGGTATTACAATTATTAAAACCTCTTTGTAGAAGATATTAAAATAATAAATAATTGTGCAGGGTATTAAGAGTAAAAAAATCCCTGTAATTATATTAAAATAGTAAAATATCCTTGTACAGGGTATTAAAACAGTAAAAAGATTGTGTAGGGTTTTAAAATAATTAAAAACTACTTGTACAAGGTATTAAAATAATAAAAAATTATTTGTGCAGGGTATTAAAATTATTGAAAACTCCTTGTAAGTATGTTAAAATAGTAAAATATCCTTGTACAGGGTATTAAAATATTAATAATAATAATTTAAAAATCCTTGTACAGGGTATGAAAATAGTAGAAAAAATTTGTATACAATATTAATATAGTAAAAAATCTTTGTACAGGATATTAATAATAATAGAATAATCATTGTATGGGGTATTAAAATAATAATATTAATATAATGATGATGATGATGATGATGATGATAATAATAATAATAGTATCTTTTTAGAGGATAATAAGAAAGAAAAGTAAGTAAGAAACTCATCTAGAGTATTAAAATAATTTAAAAATAATTGTTCTGGTTTTTAAAATAATTTTAAAAATCACTGTACAGGGTCTTATTAATACTAAAAAAGTTGTGCTGGGTAATAAAATAATAATAAAAAAAAGAATTGTGCAGGGTGTTCAGACATTGCAGCCTGCCCTGCGAAGCACCTGCCAGGACTGAGGCTCCTCCTGTGTTCTGAATTTCTGAATGTGAATTTCCCAGATTAGTGAGCAGCAACAGTGGATGCCTGCACAGCAGGGCCTGGCAGAGGGCTTAAAATGGGAATTAATAAATGGGATCAGCCAGGGACGGGGCAGGACAGAGGGGCAAAGCAGGGAACTGGATGTTTCAAATGGGAATTAATAAATGGGATCAGCCAGGGACGGGGCAGGACAGAGGGGCAAAGCAGGGAACTGGATGTTTCAAATGGGAATTAATAAAAGGGATCAGCCAGGGACGGGGCAGGACAGAGGGGCAAAGCAGGGAACTGGATGTTTCAAATGGGAATTAATAAATGGGATCAGCCAGGGACGGGGCAGGACAGAGGGGCAAAGCAGGGAACTGGATGTTTCAAATGGGAATTAATAAATGGGATCAGCCAGGGACGGGGCAGGACAGGGGAAAGGGGCTCATTGGCCTTGTGGTGGCTGCAGAGGAAGTGGAGCCTGCATCAAACCTGATTTAATTTGTGTCATTTTTCTGGAGCTGCTTGCTTTGGTTACCAGCCTTTATTTGATTTATTCCCATTGCTGCAGGGGCTGCATTGCTGCAGCTGAGCATCTCCAGCTGCAAGGGGTTTGCTCGTAACTCAAAGGGATTTCAGCTGACATGGGAAGATTGGCCAAAATTTATTAAAAAAAAAAAAAAACAGCCAATGAGGAACTGCAGCTGCTTTAACTCACCTGAAGGGATTTTAGAGGAATAATTTATTTATTTCCCCCACAGAAATAAGGGGGTTTTTAAACATTTTCCTTGTTCAGTGTTAAGGATGGGATCCTGGGGTAGCAGCTCCTGCTGTGGGCTCTGGGCTGGAGCACTTTGCTGGCTCTGGGGTTTCTGACAGGAGCTGCCCTGGTGTTTTGTGTCTCCCCAGTTCCTGAGGGAGCCCGGCTGGGCTGGCCTGCAGGAGCTGCACAGCCCGGCTGAGGAGGAGCCCCAGCCCCTGGTGCTTGCAGAGGAACCCGGCCGGGACGGGGAGGATCCTCCAGCCAACGCCTGCAGGGACAGGGCAGCCGCTGCAGGGCCGCCCCAGTGAGGGTCACCTGCCCTGGGCTGCTGCCAGGACAGGCCTGAACACTGAGGAACAGAGCTGGCATCACAGGAGAATGCTGAACACAGAGCCTGGGATCACAGGGAAATGCTGAACACACAGCCTGGGATCACAGGAGAATCCTGGACACAGAGCCTGGGATCACAGAACAATCCCTGGGATCACAGGAGAATCCCTTGGGATAACAGGACCATCCCTGGGATTACAGGACAATCCCTGGGATAACAGGAGAATCCCTGGAATTACAGGACCTCCCTGGGATTACAGGACCTCCCTGGGATAACAGGAGAATCCCTGGAATTACAGGACAATCCCTGGGATCCCAGGAGAATCCCTGGAATTACAGGACAATCCCTGGAATTACAGGACCTCCCTGGGATCACAGGACCATCCTGGGGCCACAGGACCATCCTGAAGCCAGCCCCTGATGCTCCAGGGCCTCTGCCCAGCTCTCCCAGCCCCTCACTGTGCCAGAAGCACTGGGAAGAGGGAAGGTGGAAGGGAAGGAACACTAAACCGCCTGGAGCCAAGGATGAAAGGGTGAATTCCCACCCCAGCTTGGAGGAGTAACCGCACTTTATTGATGTGGGGTGACCTGGGATTTTTCAGGGAGTGAATTCCATTGACACTGTTTGGTTTCTGCTGGCAATAACACTCCCATCACACCCACCCCAGTCTGCTTTCCTGGTTCATTCTGAGTGCAGGACTAACTCAAAAGGAGTTTGTGGGTACTTGTCTGGGGTGCAGCTGTGCCAAGAGCCCCTCCCAGAGGTCTCTGCCCTTATCTGCCTCCTCCCACCCTCCTGGAGCTTTAATCTGCTGCTGCAGCCAGGCAGGGCCCTGCACACCACAAAGGACCTGAGAGGAATTTTATTCGGAGCTTTTCCAACGTTTATCAGCCCCTGTCAGACACTAAAACCTCTTGCTGAGCACCAGAAGAAGAGAAGTTGACTGAGAGTTTTGGTTTTAGTGCCTTAAAGCAGAAGAGTCCAAGTTGAACCCCACATCAGCCCCTGTGGGGTCTGGAGTGTCCAATAAAGCACAAAGAACAAGTGAACCTCTTCTGTACTAAAAAATGGGATTATTTGATTTTTTTTTTTCCATGGGTTTGATATAAATTGTTTAAAAACCAATAAAAAATGTGGGGTTTGTGTAAGTGCCTGGTTGGAGGGCCCTGGCAGAGCTGAGGTGCCACTGTCCCAGCCCTTCCAGAACAGCCCAGGCCAGCAGCTGCCAGAAACTTCATCAGGTGCAGAACAGATCCAGTCCTTGGGATCACACAGGGTACATCAGGTGCAGAACAGATCCAATCCTTGGGATCACACAGGGTACATCAGGTGTTCCATTGCAGAACAGATCCAATCCTTGGGATCACACAGGGTACATCAGGTGCAGAACAGATCCAATCCTTGGGATCACACAGGGTACATCAGGTGTTCCATTGCAGAACAGATCCAATCCTTGGGATCACACAGGTACATCAGGTGTTCCATTGCAGAACAGATCCAATCCTTGGGATCACACAGGTTCATCAGGAGTTCCCTTGGGGAACAGATCCAATCCTTGGGATCACACAGGTTCATCAGGTGCAGAACAGATCCAATCCTTGGGATCACACAGGGTACATCAGGTGTTCCATTGCAGAACAGATCCAATCCTTGGGATCACACAGGGTACATCAGGTGCAGAACAGATCCAATCCTTGGGATCACACAGGTACATCAGGAGTTCCCTTGGGGAACAGATCCAATCCTTGGGATCACACAGGGCACATCAGGTGCTCCCTTGGGGAACAGATCCAGTCCTTGGGATCACACAGGGTACATCAGGTGCTCCCTTGGGGAACAGATCCAGTCCTTGGGATCACACAGGGTACATCAGGTGTTCCCTTGGGGAGCAGATCCAGTCCTTGGGATCACACAGGGTGCATCAGGTGCTCCCTTGGGGAACAGATCCAGTCCTTGGGATTCCACTGATAAACCAAGGGAGCTCCAGGAAATCCTGACCCATGCAGGAATTGCCAGGGCAGCACCAGCTCTGCTTTGAGCACCCACACTGGGGCTGGGCTGGGAACAAAGCTCACAAAAAGGAGCCACCAAACTCAGCCAGGGGCAGAAATGAGGTTAAACCCCCCTGGGAATGTCTGTGGGTGTTCCTGAATAAACCCTGCACTGGGCTTGTGGCAGGGAGGGTGGGGGTAAATCTTTTTACACAAACAAAAAACATTTACTGGGAGTGACTCTGGGGTTGTTGTCACTGAGCCCTCCCTGTCCCTCCATCCCTGTCCCCAGTCCCTCTGCAGCTCTGCTGGAGCCCCTGCAGGCCCTGCCAGGGGCTCTGAGCTCTCCCTGCAGCTTCTCCTCTCCAGCTGAGCCCCCCCAGCTCTCCCAGCCTGGTTTGCTGCTCCAGTTCCCAGTCCAGGCACAAGCTCCTGGCACTGGGAGGAGTTCCAGGGATCAGTTCCAGCCCAGGCTCCTTCCAGACTTCCTAAAGAACCCAACAAATATTCCCAAAAGCTCCTGGGCAAGAAAGCTGGCAGGCCTGGAGCAAAGCCTGGCTTTACTGGGTGGTGCAGGCCCTGTGCCAAGGTGAGCTGCTGTACAAAATTCACTATTTTGAGCAGCTGGGTTCATTTTTATTCTGGAATTCCCAGCAGCGAGCACCCCTGGGATGGGGATACTGCAGCTCCAAACTGGCCCCAGCTCCTGCCCCTGAGCAATTCCCACCCAGACAAACAGTGCCCAGCCCAGCCCAGCATTCCCACTCAGCTCTGGCACCTCTGAGCAGCAGCCTGGATGTGGGCAAGTTGTGAAAGCCTCGGGGGCCAGGGGAGAGGCAAATGCTGTAAAAAGCACAGAGAACAAACCACAGAGACCTCGTGAGAAGGACTCACCCCAGCAAATGGATCTGCAGGGACACTCCAGGGACATCAGACATCCTCAGCCTCACTTTCTGTTTCACTCCACTGAGATGAAACTGGATCTCAATAATTCATTAATGGAAACAGCCATAAAATGTAAGAGAAATACATTTTAAGTGAGACAACAGCAGCCCTAAAACTGGGTGTGAGTCACTCCTAGAATTTATTGAAACTTGAAATTATTACAAGCTTGGACTGTGAGCAATAAATCCATCCATACCTCACTTTGTAAGCAGAGAGGGAACAGGGCAGGAAAACTGATTTATCGGCAGACAGCTGCCCCTGGAGACAGTGCCACTGGCATGAGCAGCAAGACACTGCTCTGACCCATTTATTCCTCACATCAAGTACAACTGGCATCAGTTTGTTGGAGTTTTTTTATTCTAATATCAGGAAATACATTAAATACCAACTGGTATCTCTTACACTGAGCAGCATGAAATTAATTCCAAGGACTGTGGTGCCAGCAAATGTCCTTTGTGCCAGAGCCATCACAAGTCAGGAATACTTTGCTTTGCCATGCACAACCTGCTGAGTGTAGGGATTCGCTTAAAAACCCATAACCTTTTACCAAAAGAAGAAAAACAAAAATCTACTTTATTTTTACCTGAACAATAATATAAAATGTTTAAAATCAGCTCTGAGCCCAGCAGGGCTGGGCTGGCTCTGTCCTGGTTGCTCACTATTGTTCACAGAAGCCTGGCCACGGGTGGAGCTGTGGAGCAGAAGCTGCAGGAGGAAGCTGGAGCCTGAGCAGGGAAGGCTGGCAGCCTGCCCTTCCCTTGGGGAGGACAGATCCTGTCCTATGTACACATTCACAGGTGTCCTGGCACGGGAGGGCTTCACACAGAGCCTGGGATTGCCTCAGTTCCACCAGGCTGGGAAGCAAACCAAGGACAGGGGACTGTGAGTTATCTACACACGAGAACCACGCGGCAGCTGCGGCCAAGGGAGCTCAGCCCCACAGCTCTTCTGTCCTCCCAAACTTGTAGATCAGGGTGCTGAGGGGGAAAAGAGAAAAGAAATAAAAATCAGACCACACACTGGGTGACTTGAACAGTATCCCTAAATCTTACCCTGTGCAAATCAACAGCCCAGCCATGAAGTTTTAGTCAGATCAGGATTTGGGGTTGGTGTTTATGTTTGATTTCCTGTGCATGGCTGGAGCTGTGGGAGCCAGCTGAAGCCCAAACACAAAAACAGCCACTCTCACGGCCCTTCTGGAGGAAAAGCCTGGGAGTTGTGAAATCCAAGGAGTCCAGAGCAGCAAGGCTCACTCTGCTGCCTGGGAACCAGCTCAACGAGGCAGGATGTGCTGGGATAAAACCTAAACAATTCCATTTCTGTGAACAAATCAGAAGGAATGTGAAGCCTGGGGTAGAGAATCAGACCCCAAATGCCACATGTTGTGGCTGCCCCATGCTGGAGTGTCCCAGGCCAGGCTGGGCAGGGTTTGGAGCCACCTGGGATAAGGGGAAGGTGCCCCTGCCCAGGTGGGACTGGATGGGATTTAAGGTCCCTTCCAACCCAAACCTTCTGGGATTCTAAATAAAAAACTTCAGGCACAAATCTGCCTTCAGCAGCTTCCCTTCTCAGTCCCAGAGGGGGTTTAGGAGCTGCTGTTTCCTGCAGCAATATCCTCATTTCCCAGAGCCCACCCAGGTCCCTGCAAAGCACCTGGTGTGGGGAGGAAGGGAAAGGATCAGCCAGGAACTGAAAGAAGAAAGGAGGTGAGGTGAAACTCTCAGTGACTCATCTTGGAACTGACACTGCTTAACACTTTCAGTGCCTTTTAGTAATAAAATCCATGGACTGCTAATTGCATTCCACAGCTAAAAGGAGTTATTAGAGACTCCAAATCGATTTTCAACTGTTACATGATAGATTTAATAATATTATTTGAAATAAATCCAGTGTGCTGTTACAAAACACAGCAGCATGCTCTCACAAAAATGAATTCTCACTCTTTATAACTGCAAGCTCAGCCAGTGAAGGGAAATTCAGGGAATATCAAGCACCAGAGACCTGAGCCACTGGTGTGAAACAGTCTGGAAAAGGGGAATGG